GCACAGGAGGCCCCTTCTGGATTTGAGGCACCTTTCACAAGAGGCCCTATCTGGGCAGGAATCAAGAGGCCCCCTCTGGCAGGAGATCATTCATGAGCAGGAGGCTTCCGAGGCTCGCTCTTCACAGGAGGCCCTTTCTGGACAGGAGCAGGAGGCCCCCTCTGGCAGGAAAGCCTTTATAGGCAGGAGGCCCCTCTGGCAGGACACCTTTTCTGCTTAGTAGGCCCCTTCTGCATGGGAGGCTCCCTTCTGCACAGATGGCCCTATCTGGGTGGGAGCCAGGAGGCCCCCTCTGGCAGGAAATCTTATACTGGGCAGGAGGCCCCCTCTGGCAGGAAATCTTATACTGGGCAGGAGGCCCCGAGGTTTCCTCTACTTAGGGGCCCTTTCTGGGCCGGAGTCAGGGGGCCCCTCTGGCCTCTTGCAGGAGACCCTTTCTGGGCAGGAGGCCCTCTCTGGATGGGAGTCTCTCTCTGCATAAGAGGACATATCTTGGCAGCAGTCAGGAGGCCCCCTCTGCACAAAATGTCCTATCTGGGTAGGAGCCAGGAGGCCCCCTCTGGCAGGAGATCCTATATGGGCAGGAGGCCCCGAGACTCCCTCTGCACAGGAGGCCCTTTGTGGGCAGGAGCCAGGAGGCCCCCTCTGGCAGGAGACCCTTTATGGGCAGGAGTCCCCTCTGGCAGAGGACCTTTTATGCTTAGGAGGCCCCTTCTGGATGGGACGCTCCCTTCTGCACAGAGGGCCCTATCTAGGCAGGAGCCAGGAGGCCCCATCTGGCAGGAGCTCCTTTATGGGCAGGAGACCCCGAGGCTTCCTCTGCACAGGGGCCCTTTCTGGGCAGGAGTCAGGAGGCCCCTCTGGCCTCTTGAACGAGACCCTTTATGCCCTCTCCTGATGGAAGGCTCCCTCTGCACAAGAGGCCCCTTCTGGCAGGACTCTCTCTGGATCCCCTCTGGAAGGAGACCGTCTCTGGGAAAGAGGCCATCTCTGGATAGGAGGCCCCTCTTCACAAGAGGTCCTATCCGGGCAGCGCCTCGCCCTGGCAGGGCATTTTTCATAACGCGGCCTGGCAGAGGGGGGGGGGGTAGATGCGACCCCCCTCGCGATTGGATCCTATGGCACCTAGAAATACCAAATTTGGTAGGTAGGTGGCCCTCTTAAAATCCTCGTCCCTGTGCAAATTTGGTTGCTCTAGGTCAATATTTAGGGGTTTTTGGGAGGTATAATTGTAAAAAATTTGCTAAAACAGGTCAAAAGTTTTCGCTGATAACTTTTGATCTAATTAACCCGCGCCGGGCAGGTGCTCCGCGACTTCCGCGCCGGGCCGGGGGGGGGGGGGTGTCTGAAAACCCCCCTTCTAACTCGGCTCCTGGGTCACGTAGCGACACGCGGTAAGCGGCATTCAAAAGAGCGTCCAAAATAAGTACGAAAACACTTCAGTCATTTTTTGGGTCAGGTCAAAGGTCAGGTTACCAGAGGTCACCAAAGGTAAAATGTTGGCTATTTCAACATTTTGGAAACTGCCAACGGCCGGCTAACTCGGGAACCGATAGAGCTACAGCGCCGCGGAAAAGCGCATTCGATAGCTCTTTTGACGCTCTTTCGCCAATATGTCCTCAGATTTGACCTCAGGTCAACGGTTTAGCCTCCAGAGGGCAAAAACTCCAAAAATAGCCGTTTTTTACGAACAGTGTTTTTCGGCAATAACTTCTGACTCAAAAAAGCCACGACATTACTTTTGCCAGAATCGTGTTCCTCTTGTCAAAACGCGTCGAATGAACTATAAGTTGACCTTGAAAAGTCAACTTAAAAATTTGACCTCAGGACCTGACCGGAAAAGGTCATGTTGCATATCAGTCGATCCGCATCGTCGAGCCGAACACATCTAAGGCGTTTTCATCGCTCTATCATGCCTCTATCAGAAGTTATTAGCAAAAAACTGTTAGATACTATTCGTGACCTGAGATGACCTCGGGGACATCTCAGAACGAGGGGTCACACTCCGGGTCACAGGTGCAATTTTCGGGTTCAGTGTGTCCATTTTACCTACATCCCGATGTTTGAGAGTGTCTAGAATGGCGTTCGTGCAAAACAGACGCCTTTCAATTTTCTCCCATTGAATTATAATAGAGAGGCCGCAAAATTGACCTGACCTTAGGTCACCGATATCGAAATTCCGAGATACACGTTTAATAGGTTTTTATACACGCTTTTATAGGATACACGAGATACACTGTTACTCTCATCAATCGCTGAAAGTTTCAAGGCAATCGTGCGGTCGGTGTAGCCATGACGAACATTCTAATTTGTTTCTGACCTGACCTTGAGAGACCTGGGTCTGAAATTTTCACAGCATGTGCGGAAAAGATGCACGAACAGGTGTGTTAAAAACGGCGGCGCGGAGCTGCGAAAAGCCGCCGGGGGGGGGGGGGTGTTCAAACACCCCCCGGCCCGGCGCGGGTTAAGATAGAGCAAAACAAAAGCACCAGTGAACTCAGCACGTCAAGGCGTGTCGAATGATATACTTTTTTTGTTTGCTTAAGTGTACTTAAAAGTGTAGGTATTAAAGTGTACTTAAGTGCACAACTTAAGTAAAACTTAAGTCTTAGGAATGGTTGAAATGCTTAATGTTGCATATCATTCGACTCAGCTGTTCAAGAGGAACAGAATGATACCATTTTGAAACCTGTTCTATTATGTGACAAGTTATCGGCACAAACGTCATTTGACCTGAGTTGACCTCATTTGACCTGAACCTTAGATAAGTACACCAAACAAAGAAACACCGAGTGACATTATGTTAAGTACTGTGGTATCAAAGAACAAAAGGGATACAACGAAGCGGACATCTCTATATTTTCCGAATAGGAGTTATTTGAATATTTTCCCATAGGCTTAACATTACGACGTAATGACCCCTAACTGACCTCAGGTCAGTGACATAAAAAACGAACTACATATTATACAGCTCGGTGAACTTAGCACATCCTGAAAGTTTGAAGGAAATCAGTCCAAAACTGTGCGTTGGACAGGTACATAAAAAATTAAATTTGACCATAACCTTGTACCCGTTTTTCTGACATGGTGGCCTGACCCAAGGTCGACCGGACCTGAAATTTGCAGATCACATGAAAAAAGGTTGCCCCATAGGTTGTGCCAAATTTAGCGGCGTTGCGCGCCGCCAATTTTACGCTATCTTTGAAAAACCTTAGGGGGGGGGGGGTCGCATCGACCCCCCTGCCAGGGTGAGGGTTAAGCTTTACTAATAACGTGTGTCTCTCTGTTTGTTCACATAGTTTGTATTCTAGCCTTGTCGCGTAGGGTCGGCGTCGGGTCATAAGTGGTCATAAATGGAGGTCTATGGCCACACATGTGCGCGGCAGCAGGGACACGCCGGCCCGTATATCGGGCGGCCCGGCTGGACATTGGGAGACGGGCGGGCAGTGGAGAGCAGGGCGGGAGAGAGAGAGGACGGGTCGGTGTGCGCGTTGAGATGTCTGAAGGGTGAAGAAATACAGTCTACGATAGACGCAAAGTTTGAATGCCACAAGCTATTTCGGCATTTTTCTGACAAGTGGTGAGAAGATGCCGAGTGTCGAGGAGGAGACCAGTGACACCGCGGGAAGAGCGGTGATGGAGGTGACTCCGGCGTTCGACGCCAGGACTATTCCGGAGTTCGACGGAACTGGAAACGTAGTGGAGTGGCTGGAGCAGGCTGCTCTCCTGTGCGAGCTGCGATCAGTGTCCTTGATGGCTGTGTTGCCGACTCGCCTGCGCGGCGGTGCTTTCGCGGTGTGGTCCCGAATGCCCGCAGCGACTCGTCATCAGCTGCCCAGCGTGAAGGCTAAGCTGCTGAGGGCCTTCGCCATGGACCCGTTCACAGCGCAGGCGGAAATGGCTCGGCGTCGCCTTCATCCCGGAGAGACGGCGGATGTGTACTTAGCGGCGCTGCAGCAGCTCGCTGAGTTGATGGGAGGTCTGCCGGAGAGAGCTATCGCCATCACCTTCGTCAATGGGCTGCCGGAGGCTGCGCAAGCTGCGGTTCGGGACGGGCTCGGAGACGAGTTCACTCTCGAGTACGTCCTGGACCGAGCGAGAGCCGTACTGTCCAGGACAGCAGTCACGGCAGCGCCACCGGCGGCGGCAGCGGCGGCGGCGGCGGGGGCGGCGGCGGCGGCGAGTGGGCCATCACGTGACATTTCAAGGTCAAGTCGCCGGCCGGCTCCGATCAGATGCTGGATATGTGGTCGCCCAGGTCATATCGCCCGGATGTGCCCAAACGGCTGCGGCGGGGGAGCTGCATCAGCGCCAGCACCTCCTCCGCCGTCCACCGAGCCGGCAGCAGAGCGCCGGTAATCCAGATGCTGCTCGACGGGCGACCGTGTCACGCGCTGGTGGACACGGGCTGCGAGGAGACCGTGGTGTTCGCGGGTTGTGTCGATAAATGGGATCGATGTGAGACAAACTTGACCGCGGTGAATGGGAGTGTCGTGCGATGCAGCGGGAGTGCAGAGGTGCTGCTGGAGGCACAAGGCCGGCGGGCGGTGGTCCGTGCTGTGGTAGTGGCGGAAAGGTTGTTGGGTGTTGACGTGCTGTTGGGCATGACCGGGTTAGAGGCGCTGGGTGGTGTGTTTGTTAGTGGTGGAGAGGTGCGTTTTGGTGGTAAAGTGGTGACGGGGGAGCGTTCGGGGTGCGCCGGTGTAAAGGCAGAATCGAGCGGTATGTCGGCAGCGGTGTCGCAGGGGCGTGGTCCAGTGGACAGACAGATCGAGACGGCTGATTTTGTGGCTAAGTTCAGCGACGGAAAGTGGACAGTTTGGTGGAAGTGGGCCGACGGAAAGGAGCCAAAACAACTCAAGAATACTGTGCCGCAATATCGCGTGCCGGCAGAGTCGCAGGAGCGGTTCGACGCAGAGTTGCGGCTGTGGATCGAGGAAGGGTGGCTGCAACCGTACAATGAGCTGGAACACGGGCCGGTGCGTGGCCTAATTCCGCTCATGGCGGTCACCCAGGAAGCCAAGGACAAGGTCAGGCCGGTGCTCGACTACCGTGAACTGAATGAGCACCTGGTGGCTCATACGGCTGAAGCTGATGTGTGCCGCGACCAGCTCCGCAAGTGGCGGCAACACGGCGACGATGTGGCCGTCATCGACCTGAAGAAGGCGTTTCTGCAGCTGCACGTGGCCCAGGAGCTGTGGCCGTTTCAGACGGTAATCGTGGACGGCCAGCGACATTGTCTGACAAGGGTCGGATTTGGTCTCAGCGTTGCAAGCGGCATCATGCGAGCGGTAGTGCGGGAAGTTTTGGATCAAAGTCCAGAGATCGCAAAAGCAGTGCTCCCGTACGCTGACGACCTGCTCGTCAACGAGACGCTCATCTCGGCTGAGCGGGTGGCCGAACATTTTTCCGCATACGGGCTCTCGTGTAAGCCACCGGAACGGGTAGCGGATGAGGCCGGAGCCCGGATGCTGGGGCTCCGAGTGAGACGGCAGTCTGGCGGTGACGGCACACTGAGGTGGTCTCGGGACGGCGTGACACCAGCTGAGCCACCCGGGGTGCTGACCAGGCGGTCAATCTTCGCCTGGGCGGGTCAGCTAACCTCACACGTGCCCGTCGCCGGGTGGCTGCGGCCGGCCGCTGCCTGGCTGAAAAGGGCGGCGAACAAGGTCACCAAAGATTGGGACTCACCGATCACCGACGATGACCTGCGCAAACAAGTCAGTGATGTGGCCCGGCGGCTGGCAGAGTGTGACCCGGCACGAGGACAGTGGTGCGTCTCAGGAGACTCGGTGACGGTGTGGACTGATGCCAGCTCCATCGCCCGCGGCGTAGTGCTAAGTGACCCCACCACGGATGAGGTTATCGAAGACGCCGCGTGGCTCCGATCTGACGGTGACTCAGACATGCACATAAACCTATCGGAGCTGGATGCCGCGCTGAACGGTATGAATATGGCGGTGGCGTGGGGATTCAAGCGTGTGATCCTCCGCACAGACTCTGTCACTGTTCAGCGCTGGCTGACCGACGCTCTGACAGGCCGTGCCCGACTGAGAACGAAGGCACAGTCGGAAATGCTGGTTCGGCGGCGGGTGGCCGTTTTCAAGCAGCTCTCCAGCGAGTACGACCTCGTCGTGACAGTGGAGCTCGTGCCGTCGGCTGCCAACCGTGCAGACGAGCTCATGAGAGTACCAAAAGAGTGGATCAGAACCGGAAGCGAGCGGGCGACAGGTGTGGTGGCGGCCGTTAGGACAGCTCGACCGGAGGACATAATGGCGGTGCATGAAAGTGTGGGACACCAGGGAGTGCGGCGGACGTGGTGGTATGCGCGCCGAGAGCTGGGAAAGAGCGTGACGAAGTCGGCCGTTCGTCAGATCGTTAGATCGTGCCAGGTGTGTGCGTCGATCGACCCAGCCCCGTCGCGCTGGAAGCATGGTGCCTTGGCGGTCGAGCGCAACTGGGAGCGGCTGGCAATGGACGTAACCCATTTCCGCGGAAAACACTATCTCACCGTGATTGACTGTGGGCCGTCGAGATACGCCATGTGGCGTGAGATCCGCCGCTCTGACGGGAGCGAGATCGTCAGACAACTCGAGGCTCTGTTTTTGGAGCGAGGAGCACCGGCCGAGCTTCTAATGGATAATGCGACCGAATTCAAGGGTCGCGAGCTGAAGGCGTTCGCGGTGCGGTGGGACGTCGAGCTGAGGTATCGCGCGGCCTATGAACCTGGTGGGAATGGCATCATCGAGCGCCACCACCGCACCATCAAAGTGATGGCCGCCCGTCAGGGATGCACCGTACCAGAAGCCGTGCACCGATATAATGTCACGCCCAAGGACGGGCGTGATATTACCACGGCCCCGATACATGGTGCCTACCGTCAGGCTGGCAGAGACTTGTGCGTGCAGTCACAGGGAAACACAGCTGCTCCTCCTCAGACGGCCGGCCAGCCTGGTGTGTATCAGCCCGGTGATGCGGTGTGGGTCCGAAAACGGGGCGATCGGTGCACCGCCGTGTCAAAGGAGGGCACTGTCACCAAAGTCGTATCCGCTCAGACGATTGAAGTGGATGGAGTCCCATGGCACGTGCGGAACATTCGTCATCGTCTTGCCAACAACGGTGACGACGCAATGGCTGCTTCGACGGATGATGAGCAGGAAGAGGAGATCGCCTGTCCGGTTCCGACCGCCCATGTGCCTGGACAGCTGGCCATTGAGGCGCCGGCGGCGGTGGAGCCGTCAGAGCTGACCCCAGCTGTCGCGCCGACCGAGCAGACCGAGCCAGTCCCTCGAGCAGCAGCTGAGGCGGATGGCGGTGCCGGAACAGAGGAGCGGATCCATACAGTGAAAGTTGTAAAAACAGAAACTGAGGGATTGTCAAACGACCGTGTGAACGAAGGTAGAGCGCCAGCGGAAAGTGTAGATAATATCGATAGTTATAGTGACGTGCTAAGAAGGGGTTTGCGCTGCAGGCGTGCGCCGCAACTCTTCGGCGCTCCCATCCCCCATTAGTTAAACTGTAGTTAGATGTGTTCTTTAGGAACAGGGGGGAATGTGTCTCTCTGTTTGTTCACATAGTTTGTATTCTAGCCTTGTCGCGTAGGGTCGGCGTCGGGTCATAAGTGGTCATAAATGGAGGTCTATGGCCACACATGTGCGCGGCAGCAGGGACACGCCGGCCCGTATATCGGGCGGCCCGGCTGGACATTGGGAGACGGGCGGGCAGTGGAGAGCAGGGCGGGAGAGAGAGAGGACGGGTCGGTGTGCGCGTTGAGATGTCTGAAGGGTGAAGAAATACAGTCTACGATAGACGCAAAGTTTGAATGCCACATAACGCTAAGAACGTCACCAAACATACAGAGGCCGTCAAAAAGTAAGCCATTTGGAGGCCCCCTCGATAGAGAAAAGGCCCCCTGGCAAGCGGAACACGGAGGCCCCTTTGAGCCCGGGCCCCCTCCCCTGGAAAATCCTGGGTGCGCCCCTGGTCCTATCGCTTTCCCAGCACATAGTGCCAGGCGCCAGCTAGGGAGGTATGATATTCAGTCAGACACACCGCGGTGGATTCAGAAGGCGGCATTGGGCTCTGCTGGATGCCTGGCGCCGCGCCGGCCCCATGAAAGTTTTCGTAGTTCATAATTCTCGCTTTATTTTTTATAGGTATGATGTTGCACAGCATCTTGGAATCAGAATGAAGTGACTTCCTAAAAATTGGTGGATTTCCAATATTTTCAATGACAGGAGAAACGGCACTTTTCATTAACTTTGGATGCTCCTTGAGCATTTGCCTCTAATCCCTCTCAAACCCACTCACCATGACCACGAAGGCATAAGCAATGAGCATTTGGCATGAAAGCATTATGTGACGTAGAGAAATAGCCGAGAAGAGAAGAGCCTAGGAAATTTTGGACTAAGTACTAACAAAACTGGATATTAAAGTTACAGACGACTCTTGAAATAACTTAAAGTCATAAACCCTTGATCACCTAGCACCGTCTGTATTTATTGCAATGTGTAGCTAGTTCGGTGCATGGCGAAACACAACATGGGGCAAAAGCTCGTGCGCAGTGCACTGCAGTCACCTTATGGGGGGGGGGGGGGGGGGAGGGGGGGGGGGCGGACATGCCAGATGCAGCGCTCCTCTCTCGCCGCCGTGAGCCGCCTCCGAAGTATCACACAAGGTTACCATATGTGCCCGGCACGCGCCGCTCCTGCAACCCTACGACCCCAGTCCCCAGTCCTCCCCACGCTCCCCTCTGTACTAGAGTAGGGAGCTCCCTACTCTCTCTCTCTCTCTCTCTCTCCCTCTCTCTCCTCCCTAGCCCCAGCTGTTCCCCTTCCGGTCCACGGGTACCTCTGCTTGAGCCCATAGGTATGCTCCTATATCTCAGCGCTTCCAGTCGTCTCTACCTTCCCCTCTCCTCTGTCAACTCCGGTTGCAACGCAGCGACGGGTGTGCTCTTGTCACTGCTGCCATCTGTCAGGCTATACCTGAACCTCAGTGCAGCACGCTGTGTGGCATGGGCGGCGGGTTTGGGACAGGCATGTGTAGCCAGGATTTTGCTCAGGAAGGGGCCTCAGGTCGCGACCTATAGTGTCATATCCCCTCCAAAAAGGAAAACTCCTCGGATTTGGCCCACTATTTTTGGGGATGTGGTGAAGCTACTTTTATTCATTTTTATTTTTTATATGATTTGATTTTTCGCCTTCAGGGGGGGGGGGGCATGGCCCCCGTGGCCCCCCTTGGCTACGTCCCTGGTTTGGGAACATAATGGGGAGGGGACATGGGACGGGGCCGAGGGGGAAGGGGGGGATGGTACGAAAGGCAGAAACGGGACGAGAGGTCCAACATAACACAAAATGCAAACACCGACCGCTAGCGCACACTCAGTTTGTTGCCGTGAGACTTGTGTCACGATTATTGAAATTTATTTAGTAAGTGAAAATTAGCCGAAAAGGCATCCTACATTATAACACTACATCATAGATATCTTTCTTTTATAAATACAAATTCGGTAATTATTCTGAAGCTATACCTATTTCATGCAACTCATAGAGACTTCTTTGGTATTCACATGTGCTATATTCAAGTTGATCAATCAATCATGCCATTCAGATTTCAGAATTCGAAAATCTGTTAAGTTTACTATATAAAACATTCTAACACACCTGAAAGAAGCACAGGTCCCAAGAAACCTCCTATTCGGCTCATGACGTCTCAGCGCAGCATCAGGCCCGCCGTTCCTAGCACCCATCAATCAATCTAAAGATGGCGTCCATGGCGTCTCAGTGACCTTTGCTCGGAAATGCCGCCGGGTCGTGGAAGCCACAGAGTCAGCCGCGGAGCTGCAATCGGCCGATCAACTGACTGGCCCTGTGCAGGGAGTGGAGGGGAGAGGGGAGGCAGGGAGGGAGTAGGAGAGGGAGTAAGAGAGAGAGAGAGAGAGAGAGAGAGAGAGAGAGAGAGAGAGAGAGAGAGAGAGAGAGAGAGAGAGAGAGAGAGAGAGAGAGAGAGAGAGAGAGAGAGAGAGAGAGAGAGAGAGAGAGAGAGAGAGAGAGAGAGAGAGAGAGAGAGAGAGAGAGAGAGAGAGAGAGAGAGAGAGAGAGAGAGAGAGAGAGAGAGAGAGAGAGAGAGGAAGGGAGATAGAGAGGGAGACAGAGAGGAGAACGCCGGTTGCAGACAGACTCCCCTCTCGCCCCGCCACCGCTCCCCGCGGCGACTCGTGAACCGACTCGTGACTCACGCCGGCCTGGGGCCTGGCCCGGGGTTCGTGGGGGCTGCGGTGGCGGGTCGGTCCTTATAAAGAGCTCGTTTGGGCGAGGAGTAGCGATAACAAGGGACGGATGGCGACTGACGAGGTAAGGGTCTCGCGAAAGATCGACTTCATGACCTTGTATCGATGTTCACATGTGATCGACACCCACGACGTTTTGGTTAACGTCTATATTTTTTTCTCATAAATAATCAAGAAGTCACAATGGCATCACATTTGATGATTCTGCCGCTTTGTTGCTCGATTTTTATTCTTAATCAATGTAATGATAAGAAATATCATGCAAACTGACTTGGATATTATCTCATAGTGTTAAATGAGTAAGCCTGGCGTAGAAGGTCAAGAGTCGTCGCTTATTTTCCGATTTATGTACGTACATACATACAAGTGTTAGTATGATGTGTTACGAAATCACATGGTAACTAAGTCGATGGCAAACTGTATCATTTACTCTTAATAAGTGCTGGCCGGGGAAAGCAGAGCTCAAGTGGCGTTGCCGTTGCCACTTGCCAGGGTGATAAGGAAAAAGAGTGTTGATTTCAATGTGTATTTTGTGTCATCAAACGTATTAGCTTACCGCTGTGCTATCGGGCTGTCTTCGAATTCAAATAGTGTCATAATTTGCGAATGAAATATACGACCATCAATTTCTATTCAACCAGCTGCGGCCCAAATTAAACCCACCCTCACGCACACGACCCCCTCCCAAACGTCACCGCATCCATCACTGACTGGCCAGTTCAAATGCACGCCGGACGGTGGGGGTTTTAATCTCGCATACATCACGGCGGACCTCCCTGCGCGCGGCGCGCTGCGCTGCGTCCGATCAGGTGATCCGGTCATCCATCGTAGCTCGGCGCCGTCCGTCATCAGAGGTCTGCCGTCGGCAGATCGGAGCTGCGGCTGCACGCTGCCGCCGCCGCCGTCACCGCCGCCACCGCACGCGCCGGCTGTGCGGGGGAGCTGCCTCCCCCCTCCCGCGTCAGTGAGGGGAGGGGCGGCAGGGGGCAGAGCTAGGGGAGGTGCCGCCACCACCTGGACGGACAAGAGGATGACATCGCAACCGGCACTTTTTTGGCGCGTGCTCGCGCTGTCAGCCGGCCGCGCGCATTAATTTGTGAGGATCCATCATCTGGTGATGGGCCCGCAAAAAGCCGGAATTAAAGTCCAGTTGGCACCTGGTGACCACTGGGCTGGCACTGATAAGATGCCCTAATTCCGCCCTAATAACCGGCTTCAAAAGGCAAACAAAGGTGTGATAAAACGAGCGGCAAAAAGTGAAAAAATGGACCATGACTAGTTTCACAGGCGGTCGTGCACAAAAGCGCGCTGTTCGTTCCCCGCGTTCACCTATTGTGCTTCTGCTGAAACCATTGGCGTTTACTGGCAATGACGGGTCGTCAATGGATCGCGGCGCGTGGCAGCTGAACGTCCAAACGAACCCCGCCGGTATCGCGATCAGAAGACAAGTGACACGAGACCCCGAGACAGCAGACACAAGACCTCGAGACAC